TAGAAGTAGTTCTAACAAAAATACATATATGAAATAGTAAGGGGATTAAGTTATTCCAGTTACAAAATCAATTAAGTCACATAAGTATAATATACAGCATGGAGAATACAGTCAATAATATAATAATTTTGTTTGGTAACAGATGGTAACTAAATTTGTGGTAATCATTTTGTAATGTATAAAAATACTGAATCACTATACAGTACACCTTTAACTAATATAATAAATCAATTATATTGCAATTAAAAATGTATAATGATAGCTATCTCAACTGCATTTAATCCCATCTACTTTGTTTAAATAGACAAGTTATAAGATACCTTTCAATACCCACATACTCAAGAAAGTTACTACATGCATGATGTGAGGATAAACAGAATTCACATTTTCAAGGAAACATTCTGATGTATTATATATGTGTGTGTAAATATTAGTGGCAAAGATTGGTAGTGTGCAAGAGAGAGAAAATTATTTGATACTAAGATATCATACAAAAAAAGGTGTTTTACAAAATACTAGGTATGTCATTTCCTTTTATAAGCCATTTGCCAGCATATGTGCTTAATGGCTGAGTTGTGTTCGACTCTTTGCGACCCCATGTATATGCAGTCAATGCGCCAATATAAACTTAAAATATATCTTCCTAACTCATGTCAACAAAGATCTCAAATTATAACTCTTATGTTTCTAATGAATCCTGTAAATACTTTTAGAAATAAACATACAATTACTGATAAACTATTCACTATTCAGAGGCAAAAAGAAATAGAATCATGATGTGCTTTTGTTTTCTGGCTGAAAATCTTGAAAATGTCTATTTTCATTTTCACTGATTGCTGGTACTATTTGATCTAATAAGACCTTCCATTCAAATATATAGGAAAAAAAATATACACAAACATGCACACGCATGCAAATATAAGGAGAACAGCATTTAAGCATCTCAGGGTTCCTTGAAGCACTTTAAGACAGACAATTATGATAGTCTAATTTTGTGGTGGTCAATGAAAAATTCACTTTTTTTTGACCCCCGTCACCACATGAATGGTCATTTGTTTCATGGCCATTTTCATTATTATCTGAACACCATGTTATTTAAAGCTCTGTCTACAGAGTCAGGAAATGAACAGTTTGTCCCCAGGTAGCTCTTCATCTTATGTCAAGACAGAAGAAAAATTACTTTCCAGGAAATCACTTATATCTGCATTCTGATATCAAGTTTTACTAATACAATTTTGAGTGGACCATTTTTTCCCCTTTGTTTTCTTTCTTTTGGTGATATAGCATAGTTACATGAAGAATATTTATTTAGGTTGAATCAGTTGCTTTTCCACTAGATATATCTCAGTGTTTTCTATATACTTTAGTTTCTTTCAAAATTTATGTTATGATTCCATGAGTCATCTTCTGTTTATTTTTTTCAAACTTACTGGTTGTATAGCTATTTAAAACATATTTTTCCATTGGTTATTTGTTTTCCTCGCACTCTCTTTAATAACCAGTAAGAATTAATTAAGTTACAGAATCTTCCATAGCTTCCTTGAGAATCAGTCAATTTTATGAATTCTTACACCTCTTTATATGCACATATTCTCTACTTGACTGAAGTACTCTGAAGGCAAGGATCAAACTGGTTTCATTTGAGAAGACCCAAGTCCTTGTATTTAGGCATGAAATATTTAGAGAAGTAAATAAAGAGAAAAAAAGAAAGGAAGAGGGAAGGAAGGGAGGGTAACAGACAGGGAGGAGATGTATCTTTTTTTTTAAACCTCATTTTAAGTTAATAAAAGATTAAATGGTAGTTGCTGCCACTTACTCATTTTTATTTCCCTATTTACCTTTGGTCACTCTTACAGAAAATCAGGTGGATTTATATACAAACTTTGGCATTGATTAAACATTGGTTTCACCTGTCCTCACAACAGACTAATCAATATTAGCAAAGTGACTCAAATGAGGAACCGTGATATGCCATTTCTGTTCATCTGACAAAAAACAAACTTAAAGAAAAATTAAAAACAATCAGCAATCTTTCTTTCAGATAAAAAAAACTCCTTGGTTTGGTATTTTTGTTCAGTTGCTCAGTCTGTCTGACTCTTCACAACCCCATGGACTGCAGCACTCCAGGCCTCCCTGTCCCTTCAGGATCTCCCAGAGTTTGCTCAGACTTATGACCATTGAGTCGGTGGTCTGGTATATTGCAGAATGTTATATGCAGGTAAACAATTGCCCTGGACAAGGACGTTCATTTCTGGTATACATTTACACATTAGATGAGCACATTGTTCGATATTCTAACTTTTCTTAAATCAGAAGCAACTGTTAACACACGATGTAGCTGTGCAGTTTTGGTAAGAGACTGTGACTTCTCTCTCTGAAATAAGACCTCACCAGGGCTGGGAATGAATGCCATATGAATAGGAGGGATACAACAGAAGAGCAAAATCAGAGAAGTCAACAGAAGACTTCCTATTAGAAACATACACGCTGGTTCCACTTCTCTAGAGACTGCTTTTCCATGGAAATAATAAAAAACAATGAACGGAAGAAGCTGGTAAATATTTTTGCCCTTTCCCAAGTCCAAAATATATAAATTGTATATCAAGTGGGATAGTAAGTCCAAAATATATAAATTGTATATCAAGTGGGATAGTAATTAGAAACTAAACCAAAACTAGCATCTGCATTTAGTTCCTGAGGACTCAGTTTATGTGTGCGTGCTCACTCAGTCGTGTCTGACTCTTTGCAACTCCGTGGACTGTCACCCACCAAGCTCCACTGTCCATGGAATTTTCCAGGCAAGAATACTGGAGCTGGTTGCCATTTCCTACTCCAGGGGATCTTCCTGACCCATGGTTTGAACCCACGTCTCCTACGTTTCCTGCACTGGCAGGCAGGTCCTTTACTATTGAGCCAATTGGGAAGTTCCAGTTAGGTTACAGCATTGATTAAAAGTATCTGGATGCCTTGGCTGATACCAGGATCCCAGCTGTGCTTAGTGAAAAACACAGTCACCAATGTGCACAGGTGGACTTTAGAATTTCCTTGGCTCAGACATAGCAAGGTGATGTCCATCTGGGGATTTTTATTTCCGTTCACACTCTAGATAGAGTGCAAAAGGAGATGAGTCAGTGATTGAGTTTGTGTACAAAGAGAACCCCAAGCAGATTTCAGCAGAGTAATTTTTTTCTGTGGGCTTATGAAGTAACTCTGTTAGTATGATTTTTCTAAAGAAAGCCCAGTCAAAGGTTACAGAAGTTGTTTGTGCTTCACCCTCTCTAAATGACTTGCAAATTTATTCAAACACAATATGAGGAGATGCTTTATTTGTTGAAATAACTGTCTGCAGTGTCCTGCACAAAAGGGTGAGGTACATCAAGCAGAAACGTGGATAGAAATACATTGGTTTAGAAACCCATAAATCCTGATTTGAATCTGCCAACCTGAAAGCTATGTAGAGCCTGGATAAACTATTTTTCCTAAATGCTACGTCTGATTAAGCCATACCATTAAATGACAGCTGAACTTTAACATTAATATGATATTATTTAAATAAGCACATGATTTTTTTTTTACACTAAAAATGATGAATGATTTCTGGACAGCTCAATTGACATAAAGTGGGAGGACTCTTTAATGAGATTTGACAAAATGGAGACATATGCAGAATATTTGTTACAGCTCACATCGCAGGGGCCCTCCCAGGGAAGCAATAGAGAATTTTTCCCTTTTTTCCCTTTTTTATTGTTTATAGGCATTGAAGCATTTCTTTCAATCGCCACTTATCTGTGGATTTTGCATTTTTCTAGGTCATTTACATATCACCTTTAATCAGAGAATTTGGTGGTTTATGGTGAATTGAGACTGTGGGTGGAGGAAAAGGAGGGATGTGTGGAGTTGTGTCAACGTGAGTTAGAAGAGCCCCAGTAACTTAACCTTGCTCCTCATCAGCCTGATAGAGAAATTACATTGACCGCACTGGCCAATAGAAGACTAAGCGGACATGTCTTTGGCTGATTTTTATGAAATTAATCTCTCACTCAGCAAACATGCTTTTAGCAGTATGCTTGGACACAACACATTATCTATGGACACGTGATTAGAGAAAACTTTATTTATATTCAAATAGCTGCCACTAAAGCATCAATGATAAACAAGATTCTTTTCTTTAAAATTCCAAGTCAGCTATTCCAAGGTGATTCTCAACATTTCTCATTTATATTTCTATCCACAGTTCCAAACTGAAGATAATGCTAGAAGATACTCTTATTTGGTAGATTCTGAATGTAATAATTTCATGCTGAATACACCTAAATCAAAAGTGACTCAAATTTTCAGAACAATGAAAACATTTCTCACTTCCCAAAATATAGAATCTAGACTGTTACCCACATTCTTTCATTCATTTTCACATATTCTCCCAAGTATCTTCTATCAATCAAAGGCTAATTACACATACAAAACATAAACATTTGTTTGCTTACACATGAGTAAATTCAGATTATTCTGATATTCTTCAGGCGTCAAAAATCATTTTTAAGTATACATACAATAGCAATGTTTCCCCGAACAGAGTCGCTTTAAAAAGAAATCTAAATAAGGCAACAGAGGGCAAAGCTAATAGTAAGTATGCTCCTGAAACCACAGGCCAGCATTTCATCGACAGCAAGAAGGCTATCAAAATAGAAAATAAAATCCGTCTGCTGCTGCCATGGGGTCTTCCTCAGGCTATGAAAAAATACTTTATGTCCAACCCTAATTTTTTCCATAGCTTGAGGTAACCCCTCGAGCTGAAACTTTCTAATCCAAGTTACTCAGAGTGTGTGTGTGTCCCTGTTCAAACAAGAGTTAATACCAGTGCCCTGTCATTTCAAAAGGGTCTTGACACAGGTACTAAGAGCAGAAGCTTGCATGTCTGGAAAATGCCCGGTTGCAACGAGATGAAAAATATACTGTAAAAAAAGGAACAGAGAGAAAGGAAGACCCTACCTGACTCTTACCTTCGCAACATCCCTGTCAGAACTCTGGAGCTTTTCCCCAAGTTAGCATCTGTTTCCCGAAGCTAGGAGGAGAAAAGCAGCATTAACACATAATAAAATGAAACTTCAGGCAATTAGATTATTTTTAAAGTGCACTAGCAAGCAATGGTTTTCCTTCATGATGGAAAATCCGATTCATAAAACAAAGGTTAAATACTTTAAAATACATTTTTGATGCCTACCCAATGTCAAAAAAATTCTTAGATTTAGAAAATTACATGTAATAGATAACCCCAGGAGCTTTAAACTGGATACTTGAACTGGATATAAAAGCAAATGTCTCACAGGTTGACAAAGTTTAATAGATATCTGGTCATAAATCAATATCTCCACCTTAAGAATGCACACAGTCCTAGAGATAAAAACTGAAACAAAATGAACTGAGGGAAGATGAGAATCATATGTTTACTTTCACTCTGAAAGACCTGCTGACATACTCCCAAATCTCCATCAACGATCTTCTTAGCTACGTGCATGTGTGCTTAGTCGCTCAGTCGTGTCCAGCTCTTTGTGACTCTTTGGACTGTAGCCCTAGCCACGCTCCTCTGCCCACGGGATTTTTCAGGCAAGAATACTGGGATGGGTTGCCATTTTCTTCCTCCAGGGGATCTTACCGACCTAGGAACTAAACCTGAGTCTCCTGTGTCTTCTGCATTGCAGGAGGATTCTTCACTAGCTGAGCCATCAGGAAGGCCTCTTCTTAGCTACAGCACTAAATAAAATATCTACTCGGGGGAATTCCGGAATGGAGGCACACAGTCAGCTTAATCTTTATGCATCACACACTTCCCCGCCCCCTACCCAGGCTCTACACCCTCCTTCGCCCTAGCCATTTTTCACACATGCTTGAAAGTGAAAGTGGCTCAGTCGTATACGACTCTTTGCGACTCCATGGACTGAAGCCTGCTAAGCTACTCTGTCCATGGAATTCTCCAGGCAAGAATACTGCAGTGGGCTGCCATTCCCTTCTCCAGGGGATCTTACATCAACGTAATTGCTACAGCCTATGCATCTGCCCAAGACCTTTTATATATATTTTTGGCTTATGTTTTTTTCTTTTACTGAATTTGTGAAAAGATTATACGATTTCTACTTACTCTTTCACGTGCTCTCTGTATCTTTTCTCTGTCGTGACTGAGGTTTTCCAACATCTCCTGGCCAATTTGTTCTATGGACAAGAAAATCTGAGTGAGGAAAGGTGACTTTGGAAAAAACCTTCAGAAGTACCAAAAGGACAACAGGTACAGAATTTATTGAATGCTCAGGATCAGTTAAATAAAAAACCAATGACAAGAACCTACCCTACAGCTCAGGGAATCCTACTCAGTGCTCCCCCTAAATGGGAAGGAAATCCAAAAAAGAGGAGGTGTGTGTGTGTGTGTGTATTTATATATATATATATATATATCTGATTCACTTTGCTGTACAGTAGAAACTAAGACATTCCTAAGCAACTTTTCTCCAATAAAAATTAAATACACACACAAAATAAAGCTCAGTGAGCAGTTTCTGTAAAAACAAACAAAAAACAATGAACTATTATGACTCCAACATCCTCCTAAAAACTGGTTCTTCCATAATCCACTTGAACTGAAATTTTATTTATCGGGGGAAAAAAAAAATCTGTCCTTTTTTTTTTTTTTCCAGAAAATTGTTGTTAAGAGTCAAATGAGATAACCAAAAATTTTTTGAAATTTATAGTGTACCACACAAATGTATGTAATTGTATAGTACATGAGAATCAATGCACTCAATACATTCCGTGCTGGGTGTAGATGCTGGGACGTGACCAGTAACCAAGATCAAGCCTTTCAACTCATGAACTCCTGTGCTAATGGTGATGACTTAGCAGTTAAAGGACAAATGTTATATTAGAGTTTATATTTCATGGCACATCCAAAAAAGGACTGCATATTCCTTTCATAATAGAAAATCCAAATAATAAGAATTGCTTAAACACAATAACCTCAATTATATTTTTGACACCTATACAAAACTGAAAATTCTTCACAGGTTACTCCACTTCTAGTATATCTCCTCTAAGATTGATAATAGCTTTTTATTACTGACTCCACACAATATATCCTTAAGGTAAAATTGGATATATGGTCCCAGTGGAGGCATCATAAAAGTGGAAGATGACGCCAAAAATGGAGAAGTAGGAAACAACTAGAGTTGCAATTTTCTTTTTTGGAAAACAATTACAATATTCAATTTTGTCATACTATTTGCTATTACTATTATATTGAATTTCTTTAATCAACATAATATAGCAATTTTAATGCACTTTTAACTTAAAAATCTCTAGTATCTATGAATACCATCAATACTATAATTAGTTCAGCAAAATACTATTTATATAATATTCTCTCATTCAAGAGGATGGTATTGGGACTTCCCTGGCAATCCAGTGGTAAGTGTGCACTTTCATTGCAAAGAGCGCAAGTTTGGTCCCTGGTGGGGGAACCAAGATCCTGCATGCTGTGTGGTGTGTGTGGTGTGGCAAAAAAAAAAAAGGTGGGGGGGGGATTTATGGTATATAAATGTCAAACAAATATGAAATAATTTATTACTGTTGTCTCATCACCAGGATGTTTCCAGCAAAAATTCATGGAAGGAATAAAGCAATGTGGGGATAAAATGAAAAAAGGAGTATATGAAAGGTTTGGGGGTTTATTCCTGCTCTCAAAGCTTATCATGTGTGGCATTGGAGAAGGCAACACTGGAATGTAGGTGATAGATCCATGTTTCTATCAGGTTCACTGGAGGAAAAACTGTTCTGAATGGATCTACAGTCTGCTACTGAAGGAATCAATGGAACAAGAGGTGAAGAACTCCGGTCTTTTGAGATGTTCAAGTAATTCCCTCAATCTCTTTGCCTCCTGGGAAATATGTCAGTATCCAAGTACTAACCCCATCTAACAAAAGATAAGATATTGGCAAGAGTGCATATGTTCTGGTCTTAACAGGCAAATACCATGCATTTGTTAGAAACAGAATTCTTTAATTTCCTACTTGCTAAACCAGTCAATCCTAAAGGAAATCAACCCTGAATATTCACTGGAAGGACTGATGCTGAAGCTGCATCTCCAGTACTCTGGCAATACAATGGAAAAGGCCCTGATGTTGGGAAAGATTGAAGGCAAGAGGAGAAGGAGGTGGCAGAGAATAAGATGGTTAGATGGCATCACTGACTCAGTGGACATGAATCTGAGCAAACTCCAGGAAACAGTGAAGGACAGGGGAGTCTGGTGTGCTGCAGTTTGTGGGGTGGCAAAGAGTCAGACATGACTTGGCGTCTGAACAGCAACAACCTTCCATTTGAATCACCCACTATAGAAAATTCTAGGCCAAATATATTAGAAATGCTGACCCTTATACAATGAAAAAAAAAAAAAGTTCAAGCAAAGTAAGTTATGCATACTTATCTGTTCTCCTACCTCAATCAAAACAAAACAAAACAACAAATTAAGAGGGAATTATTTTAAAAATAGACTCTGTTTGCACAAAATAGACATTGAGGGATTACTTCACTAAAAAAAATAACATTGTTAGATTTACTTTTCTTGAATAACTTAAAAAAAAGCACTCACATAAAATATCAATAAGAAATACAAGAAAGACTATAAATCAATGCAGATGTGACATCTTGAGTCTAGAGCTTCCAGTTCTTTAAACTTTTGCAGTACAGTACCTTTAGAATGGGAATTGCCATACTGCCATTATTGAAATAATCTGAGAAATCATAAATTTTATAAGTACTGTACTTATTGACTGTGAGGATGTTCTGGAGATTAAGAAACAATGGGAAGCATAAAAGAAAATAAAAACTGATGCCATCAATACATGCTGGAACTCTACATGTCAGTATGAACATGATGAATGAATTCCTGGAGAGAAAAGTCTCTTCCTGCACTACTTCTGTCCTTTTCACAAGGGGGTTGGGAATCATTGTGGGAGTATAGCATTCAAATTTATAAAGTGAGCTTTTGTTTCCAAAATTACCCAGAATGAATCATCATATCCTTGATCTATGGCCTTTTTTACTGGGTCACAAACTGCAAAATAGGTTTTGGCTAACATTTCCTCTCCTTTTCAATACATTTTACAGGGGATGGGAGATAATATCATAGGTATTCAACACTCTGTTGCCCCGTAAAGGAATGGGGAAGAACCAGAGAACTATAAATCTGGCAAAATATTTCCTGAAGGCCTGGACCAGCATCACAAAAGGCAGGACATATTTTGAGGAACTTGCACCACTGAATCACTTTCCTCCATTCATAAAATAATAATGTCACCTGAACAATCATGACATGTGAATGAACTTAATTTTTTAAATGTACTGAATTTGTATTTTGGAGATGAAATATTTTCAATCAGAAGGCAGGACTGATGGAAGTTCACATCACGTTATAATATAAACATGGAATATATATAATTACATTATTCAATATAATTCACCAAAAATGTTCTATTTAATAAATACAAAATATTAAAAAAAGATGTTAGCCATTATGCTATAAAGTATATAAAGCAGAAAATAATCATTCCTTTGTACACTTATATATAACTTTCTTTTTACAAACTTTATTAAGGATATGGTTTCCAACAAAGCTTCCCTCATAGCTCAGTTGGTAAAGAATCTGCCTGCATTCGACCCCAGTTCGATCCCTGTGACAGGAAGATCCCCTGGAGAAGGGATAGGCTACCCACTCCAGTAACCTGGCCTGGAGAATTCCAAGGACCGTATAATCCATGGGGTCACAAAGAGTCAGACATGACTGAGAGACTTTCACTTTCACTTTTACTCTTCAACAAAGTATTTAAAATTTGAAGATAGCCAGTTGAGACTTCTCGGAAGAAATCAGAAGGTAAGATGGCTTTCTGGCACTCAAAAACTTCATTAGCAATTTTAGCAACAGGTAAAAGGCATTTGCAACTATCCAGCTGTTTGTATATGAGGATTTCTGTGAAGTGTGGAGTGAATAGAAAGACTTACAAGAGCTATATAAAAAAATTTTTTTTTAATGTGGACCATTTTTAACACCTTTATTGAGTTTGTTACAACACTGCTTCTGTTTCATGTTTGTTTTTTTGGCCATGAGGCATGTGGGATATTAGCTCCGTGCAGGGATCGAACCGGCACCCCCTGCACCTGGATGGTGAAGTCTTAACCACTGGACCACCAGGGAAGTCCCTAAAAGCTATTTTTGAAGCATGTGCTTTCTTATGTATATTGCAGAATGCCAACTTGACAGATGCAAAACACAAAGTAATATTTTTCTAACAATTTGGAGTACTGAATTTTGGACATGACTCAAGAAATTCTAGCAAAAAATGTATTGCTCTGGGAGAGCAAAGTAGCTGACATACAGCTTTCTCAGGAGGGAGCTGCTCACAGAGTGACTGGATGAACCATCCTTTGGCATTTAGCACATCTGCCTGGACACTGACTCTGGCATCATGCCCTGAATGGGTTATCCTCAGTATCGATGTTACTCAGACATGAAGAGTTTTTTGAATTCCTGATCCCTGGATAGGCGGGGATGTGGAAAAGGCAGATCTTTTACCATCTTTCATTATTTCACAATTCAAGGCATATAAAGAACTGCTTCCAATTCAGATGTAGAAAGACAAGAAATATTCACTCTCAGAGAAATAAGAAAAATCCAGACAAAATAATTATCATTCTTTGTGGGTGATATCTGGTATATACAAAGAAATTGTGATGAATTCTAGAGAGAAAGAAGCATCTCATTTGTGAGCAAAGGGTTGTGGCAACATTCACACCCACAGTGAGTACCTGGTCTGAGTTCAGACCTCCCTCTGGGAGGCTTTTCAGGAATAAAGGGAAATCAGTCAAACATCCTGTGTAAAATGTAGGCTTACAGAACAGAATGGGATCTGGAAGAGTTCTAAACACAAAAGCAAATTGCTTGGTTTGACAATTCTCGCCCAATCTCCAAATCTTGCCATGAAAGAGGCAGTGGAGAAGGGGCTGGTTAGGAAAGCAAAACCTCATATTACCACATATTCTTGTGGTGCTGGCCCTCTGAGAGTCAAGTCCAAACATGCTGGAAAGCAGTAAGAAGGAGGATTCAATTTTCATCAGAAACAAAACAAGAGGACAGTGGAATAATATCCCAAAGTGCTAGGGGGATACAA